AAACAGTAAACAGCTCTGAGGAAATATTTTAACATCCAAAGTATTTGTATTTTGTATCTTTATGAATAAAATCGTTTATTTTATGCAGAGTATCAGGCTTTTCCATCACGAGATAAGACCGATGTTAGGTGATTAGATTACACCGCACGCCTGTATGTTGCTCTGTATGTAATTGAACGATATACAGCACAGTAATGATTTTATATATAAAATAAAATGTACACAAACCTGTATTTTACCGTAGAAATGCATCAATTCGATGGCGCTTAGAACTGTTCTCTCCAGAAGAGAAGGAAAAATCCCAGCGATAAATAACTCAACCGCTGGGTTACGTCTGACTCAGGATCTGAGTAATACAAAAACTACCCAAACATTGGGTTGTTATGTCTGACCCAGGAGCTGGGTCACACTAAAAAAAACTACCCAAACATTGGGTTGTTACATTTGACCCAGGAGCTGGGTAACACAAAAACTACCCAAACACTGAAAAAATAACCCAAAAAAATGACCCAAAAGTCTCAACCCAGCATTTGGGTTAAAAAAATAACCCAGGATTTTTTAGAGTGCACGGCAAAGTCGAGGAAGGGAGGAGCCATGGTGGAGCCTTGCCAGGCAGAACCAGGGATACTACAGACTGAGACAGAGCCAAAGGAGGTGGAGACCCAGGTGAAGCTAAGGAGATGGAGACCCGGAGTGACAGCGGAGACCGGGAGGGCCAAGGTAGAGCTGCAGACTTGAGGGGTCTAGCAGGCCAGGGCGAAGCTAGAGGGAGTAAGGACCAAGATGAAGCCAGAGGGAAGAAGGTGCCCGACAGAGCCAAAGGGATGGAGGGACGAGGCATAGCCAGAGGAGTAGAAGACCGTGGTGGAGGCAGGTTGACAACTGACCAAGATGTAGCCGGAGGGACGAGGGAGCCCGGTGGAGTCAGAGAATTGACAGAACCTGGTGGAGGCGAGGGAGTGTGGCACCAAGGAGGCACTGAAGGGTCGGAAGGCTGAGGTGGAGTACAGGGCTCGGAGGACTAAGGTGGAGCCATGGGACCGACATCCCAGAACAGAGATGGAGACTGAGATCTTAGACTCATCCACATTGCAAAGTGGAGAACATAGAGCCGAGGAGCTGGAGGGAACCATTGGAGGCAGAGCCAAAAGACTCTGTGGTTTTAGAAGAGGCGGCGGGATAGGGAGGCTGGGTGGGAGCATCAATGATGACACAGACTTGGTGCTGGGCAGAACCAGTGTATCAGATTCAGGACTGGCTGGAACCAGCGGAGACACATCAGATTCAGGATTGGCTGGAACCAGTGGAGACTCAGGAGATTCAGGAATGGCTGGAACCAGTGGAGACTCAGGAGATTCAGGGCTGGGCAGAAGCAGTGGAGACAAAGGAGATTCAGGACAGGGTGGAAACAAAGACTCTAAAAGTGTGGTGCTGCTGGTGAAGCAGAGGCCGTGCAGATAAATGAAACAGGTAGAAATGACTGGCATTGGCTCTAGCTCTTGTATCGTGGCAGACTCAAGCTCATGGTCTACGGTGGGCTTAAGCATTGCTGCAGCTGAGCTGGTGGGCTGATCTCCTCCTCACTCTCATGGATGGTAAAGAGGGAACCATTATGAAGGAGTACCCACTCCACGTACTCCATTAAAGTCCCTAGAAGCTCATTTCCGGGCAAGCACAGTCTCGTTTTAGCATTGAGGCTTGTCCGGAAACCACACACAGGCAGTTATCATCATAAGGGATGAGATGGTAAAGGTTCAGAAACTCCTGTGGGTGCCTCTTTATGGACTGGTTCCCCTGCGAGAGGAGGGGGATTCTTTTTGCTGCTAGATCCATCCTTTGGGACCAGTTCTTCTGTCACAAAATGGTTACAAATAAGGATGAGGTGAATGCAGCAGTTTAGATTTATTTACGCAAACTCAAAACTGGAAACAGGAACTGAACAGAACAACCAGGCTAAACGCAACAAGAACAAAGAATAGAAGCAAACACAGGACTTAAATACACTGAATCAAACCAATCAACTAAATTAACACCAGGTGCAAACACTAACAAAACGATGAGTAACCATAGAAACGAATGACAGACAAAACAACTGATCTAGAAACAGTGAAAACTCAAAGTCCAACTAAAGCAAACACAAAACACAGGTACCCATAACAACATGTCCCCAAAATATGTCTAGAATCATACTAGCATGCAGTTTTGAAAGAGCACGTTTCCATCTTCCAGGAGGCCAGCTGTGCCTATGTGATCATACTGATGGCAGTTTACTGGTGTACTGAGGCTCTTCCTTTAGCTGTCACTTCACTGCTACCTGCTGTCCTCTTCCCCATGCTTGGCATCATGCAGTCCAAAATGGTAAGTTGGTTTTAGTGTTTCCGGTTAAGAAAGGCATCAAATTAATTAGAGATGAACAACAAAAGAGCACACATCAAAAAGCTAAGGCTTTGATTTGGTTCTCTAGGTGTGTATGCAATACCTGAAGGACACTAACATGCTGTTTGTGGGTGGACTGATGGTCGCTGTGGCAGTTGAGCACTGGAACCTGCACAAACGCATCGCCCTTAGAGTGCTTCTCATTGTTGGGGTGCGCCCAGCGCTGTAAGTTAAACCCTGTAATGGGTACAATCATTGATAGGTTGTTAAATCCAATCTTTACTCATATAGATTTCATGTTTGTATTCACATTCTGATTGCTTCCTTTGTATTAATACAGCCTGATGCTGGGCTTCATGGGGGTGACAGCTTTCCTCTCCATGTGGATCAGTAACACGGCTACTACGGCCATGATGGTCCCCATAGTGCAGGCTGTGCTGGAACAGCTGAACAAACAGGAGACAGAGTCATCACAGACAACCTGTGGTGAGGAACGGCCCCAGGCCCCTGAGGCGGAATACAAACAGACGGCAAATGACAGAGACACAGAAGGTCAGGCGAAGAATTGTTTATGAGGTCCATGCAATAAGATGTATTTTAGCAGTACATATACTACCATTCAAGTTTGGGGTCAGTAAAAAAAAAAAAAAAAAAAAAAAAAATGAAAAGAGACAGTCAAGATATTTATACAGTTACGAAAATTAGTGGTGTATATTAAATTGTGTTATACATCATATTTTTATAAAACAAAATATTAGCATATAACAAAAATATAAAATTTTTAGAAGAAACTATCAATTGTAAAACAATAATAATAATAATAATAATAATAATAATAACAATAACAATAAAGTGTATAAATATACTAATTTATATTAACTATATTAATATAATATTAATAATAAAATAATATAATATAATACTACTTTTATCAATTATTTTTATAAAAATAATACTTCTTTTACAAAAAAAGTGCCACCATATATATTATTGTTTGTGGGCACAAAAAAAAAAAAAAAAAAAAAAAAAAAATTGAAAGAAACTTTTATTTAGAAAGGGAGCATTAAAGCCAGTTTCCACCACAAATTAATTGTATTTTTTTATTTTTTTTGTAAAATTATTTTATAATTTTTATCTTATCTTTCAGAATGTTTCTTGCAATTCAGAATGAAAGTCAGATTTATGAGATACAAACACAGAATTCTGAGTTCCGAGTTTATCTTTCAGAATTATATCTGCAATTCTGAATTCTGGGTTCCCATCTCACAATTCTGAAAGGTGTAAAAAAAAGGGTAATTGTGACTTTTTATGTCACAATTCAGATTTTTTTCTCACAATTGTGATTTTATATCTAACAATTCAGAATTTAGTTTATTTCTCACAATAACTCACAATAGTGAGATAAAAGGTTGTGATTACTGATTATAGTAATTTTTTTAATAGTTTTAGAAAATTTCTATTTCAAACCAATTCTATTTAAATATCAAAGAATCCTGAAAAAAAAAAATTGCATCATGGTATCCACTAAAAACAGCACATTTAAAACATTAAAGCAAGAAATGTTTCTTGAGCACCAAATCAGCAAAAAAAATTAAACTTAAAAAAATTCAGCTTTGCCATCACATGTATAAATTACATTTTAATTGCAATAATATTTTACAACATTACTGTTTTAATGTTGTGTTTTTTTGCAGCCTTGGTGAGCAAGGTGACTTCTTGGTGACTTCTTTTAAAAACATCCAAATAACTTACTGACTAACCTTTGAACTGTAGGTTATGAGAGCAGTGGTGGACAGTAACGGAGTAGTTTTACTTCGTTACTGAAATCAAGTACTTTTGTACTTTCACTCGAGTAAAATTGAAAACTGAGTACTTTTACTTTTACTGGAGTAATATTTTATTATACGTATCTATACTTTTACTCAAGTACTTGATTTGTGTACTTCGTCCACCACTGTATGAGAGTAATGTATCATGTTTTTAAACTTTTATCCCCAGGGGCTTTTTTTCTCACCATCTCACCAACCCCATATTTTTGAACAGTATAGTAGTTTTCATTTCAAGACACAATTTTCATTTTTGGATGAACTATCATCACTCAGTGCATTCCCTATTTCTTAGTGGTTCTACGCATGCTGGATGTCTCACCAGAGGCCAAACAAAAGAAATCAGCAGAGAAGCGGCTCATGGCTAAAGGAATGACTCTGTGTGTGTGTTATGCGGCCAGCGTTGGGGGAACGGCCACACTCACAGGCACTGGACCTAACCTAGTACTGAAGGGTCAGATGAACCAGTGAGTACTGAATAAACACTTCACTTCTACCATTTTGTTTCCAGAAACTGAACCCTTTCATTTATTTGCCTCAGATTATTTCCTGACAATGGTGATGTCATCAACTTTGCCTCATGGTTTGGGTTTGCCTTCCCCAACATGATCATCATGCTGACGATAGCTTGGCTTTATCTTCAGTTCATTTTCATGGGATTCAAGTATGATAGATAATTGATTTGTTACATTTCACATTTTCTTTTTCCACTCCTTTAATGAAGTGCTTTATTCATGTCTCCAGCATTAGGAAGACATGGGGATGTGGAGCGGTAAAGTCAGAGAAGGAAATAGCCGCCTATAACGTGATCCGGGAGCAGCATCTTCAGCTGGGACCGATGTGTTTTGGCGAACTCAGCGTTCTGGCTCTCTTCAGTTTGCTTGTAGCTCTGTGGTTTACTCGAGATCCTGGATTTGTAACAGGCTGGGCAACACACACCTTTAACACCGAAGCAGAGTATGATTTACACTACATGCTTAGTTAGATCGATTAATTTATTGCAAAATTGCAATTTATCAAAGTCATTAACCATGTTAGTGATCAAAATAAATCAATAAAATATGTATATTCATATTTAACAAGAGTATGTATGCAGGTATTATTCCAAAAATATTGGAATAATAATAGGACTTTTTGGTGTTTAATATTCCGTACGTTTAGATATGTGACAGATGCTACAGTTGCAGTCTTCATTGCCCTGTTGCTCTTCATTCTGCCATCTAAACCACCCCGGCTTTGCTTCTGGTCATCAACTGAATCTGAAACAGGTAAGAAGAATTTTACACAATGAAAAGGTCTACAAAGAAGACTCAGAGAGTTTGGATCTATTGTTCTGGTTTGGGTTGACTCGATGTACTACATATATTAATTTACAGAGCCTCAACTCTCTTCTGCGCCCAGTCCAGCCCTGCTCTCCTGGAAAGTAGCTCAAAAGAAGTTACCCTGGAACATAGTTTTGCTCCTAGGTGGAGGATTTGCCCTGGCCAAAGGTAGCGAGGTGAGAGCACTCAATGAAAAAATAATGTCTCTGCTTTAAAATCATAACTATTATGTTTCTTTAAACTGCTTTGAAGATAATCATTTAAATTGTGGCTGTCATAACCTGTTTTTGAGAAAATGGCTTCTGAAGTGTGCAAACAAATTTCATTTTTGACAGAAGATTTATTCAAACATACTTTAAATTACAGGATAAATAAAATTACAATGTGTTTATAATAGTGCATCTATTTAACACTACATTTACAATAGTGGCAATATGCTTAGAAATCGGTCACATTAGTGAAATTAAGCAAGGAAAAGGGCTGTATTGTCCGTAGTCAATAGTGTAGGAATGCATACAGCATGGCCCACATAGAGATCACTTCCCAAGTAGCTTTCTGTTTGTCAATGAAGCAAATTCGCATGACCAACTTGAGCCAATGCAAAATCTATGTGGGGAAATGTTTTCCATCACACATGGATTTCTATTGAAATGACTGGATTTCGAACGTAAAATTTCAGCAAGCAACGCTGACCGCACATTTAGGTCTCAAATTGTGACCTAAGCGATATACCGGTTCAAACGGTAAACTGGCTTGAATTACGCAAACGGTATGATTTTTTTTTTTAAACGGCATATTAGTTTAAATAATTTTTTTAATTTAAATAAAATTTTAACTGGGTAAATAGACCAACTGTAAACTGCCATTAACAGAAGCCAGAGACGCTGAAGACGGATGCAAAGATGAGAAAATACTGTATCAGGCAGATCAAGCTCACGATGCACAAAATATAGGAAGAAAATTCTAAATGCTGAACTGAGGGTGAGGGGTTTATATGAATGTATCTTTGAGGGGAACTGACTTGTCTTCAGAAAAGTTTCGATGGTATTTTCTTTTCATCTTATCTCCGTATAATGCATATTTAAAAGCGCAGCACTGCTTTGTTTACAGCGATGAAGGAAACGTGGTATCGCTGCTGTTAGCGCCATCTCTTGTCAATGAGTGAATTTGCATTCTCATTCAGCCCGTCTGCTGTTTTTGTTTTGTTCAGATGTTTTATGTAGCATTTCACAAAGGTTAGACCATTCTGCTTTTGCTATAAATTAAAAAAGTATACAATCTAATTTACATCAAAAACCACTCAAGCAATAGGATATGCATGTTTGTTTGGATCATGATTAAAATGCAGTGGTTCTGCAACTGTTTCATGCATTCTGATTAATATAAAGGCACAGTCAGGGAAAAACCACGATAAACTGTCAAACCGACAGAATCCTAAAAAAAAAAAAGGATACTTTTTTTTTTCATCAAACCGCCCAGCACTATCTCATACTTTACTCTGATAATAAAAAAATATTACTAATTGGCTAAAACATACTATGTTTTAGCCAATGTTTAGCCAACAACAAAATGTTGACTATAATTATCTTTATGATGAAAATGGTAAACAACTACCATCATTTTCTTTATTTAGTCCATTTGTGACCTGCATCTGACTTCATATATTTCTTTTGTATCTCAGGAGTCAGGTCTATCCAGATGGATGGGAAACCAGTTGACTCCCCTACATAGTATCCCTCCCTGGGCCATTGTTATCATCCTGTGCCTCTTGATTGCCATTTTCACTGAGTGTACCAGCAATGTTGCCACAGCTACATTATTTCTTCCTGTCCTTGCTTCTATGGTAAGACCGGTATATGAAACCTGTAAAATTCTGATATTTACCAAGTAATAGATCTTCAAAAGATGCGAAAAAATATTATGAAATATGATAATCATATCTCTATGCATCATTTTTAGGCAGGTGCTTAAATTCTTGAAATAGCATCAGCTGTGAAGTTGTATTGCTCACCAGCTGTGCAAAGCTTCACTGAAACATTGGCCTCCGTGCAGACATGACTCACAGTTTGTTATAATCTTTAAGAATTACAGCCCAATTACAGACACTTTGTGATGAGCTTAGAAAACATGCAGTTATATCAGAGACATATGAGTCAGCACTGTCCACAATTAAATCTTGTTTTCTGCTTTATAAGTACATCAGACATTTCTGTTTCTGTTTCGCAGTCTCAGTCGGTTGGAATCAACCCTCTTTACATCATGGTGCCATGCACACTCAGTGCGTCCTTTGCATTCATGTTACCTGTGGCAACTCCACCAAACGCTATAGTCTTTTCCTATGGATACCTCAAGGTTTCAGACATGGTGAGTTCCAGAATCTGGCAACCGATTTTATTCCAGACAGAAAAAAAAGGGTTCCCTGGTTTTCTCAGCCCAAGTGGCAATTTCAGCCTATTTCCATATTCAAAGTGTGTTTAAAAACTCATCATAATACAGAGGAAACAGTTTACAAGATCAGCTGCCAGACATCAATCATTTATAAGTAGTTATGTCAGTGACGTAGCATTGTTAAAACAAATGTGGCCCCATATATAGACAAACCACAAGTCATTTTACCACATCTAAAAAATGTTCCTTCCCAGCTGCTCCAGTGACCAATAAACTCACTCAGTGATATTTAACATTTTGTTTTTCTCAGGCAAAAACTGGCGTGATGATGAATATCATAGGGATTTTCTGCATCACCTTATCCATCAACACCTGGGGCAAGGCCATGTTCAACCTAGACTCTTTCCCTGCATGGGCCAACCAAACAGTAATATGACACAGTACAAGGCCAAATGAAAACCAGCAAGCTGCTTATTTTCTTCGCATCATTCTCATAAACCTCGTGGATCAAAGCTGCAGCAGAGAGAAAATGAAATCTGCCATGTCTTGCAGGACTATTTTGCACACTCATAACCTCTTTCATTGAAAGACCTACAGTAACCAAGCACCAGGATATACTACAGTATGTTCAAATGTTTGGGGCTCTTACCGATTTTTTTATGTTTTTGAAATCTCTTATACTCATCAAAAATGCATTAAAATCTGAATTTAAAAAATACGTTTTGCAATTAATAATAATAATAATATTGTGAAATAGTTTTTGCAATAAAATAACCATTTTCTATTTTAATATATATTAAAATGTAATTTATTCCTGTGATGGCAAAGCTGAATGTTCTAGCAGCCATTACTCCAGTCTTCAGTGTCACACAATCCTTCAGAAATCATTCCAATATGCTGATTTCTTATTATTATCATTGTTGAAAACAGCCGTGCTGCTTAATATGTCTGTGGAAACCATGTTTGTTAGGATTCTTTGATGAATAGAAAAGGGTGAATCTTACTTACCCCAAACTTTTGAACACTAGTGTACATGGTCATCATATTTTGTAACACAGTTTTATCAAATAAATATGCAGGACAGATGTTTTAAACATTAAAACAATCAGATGTTTCAAACATTTCATATATTCGCAAACATAGGTTTAGATGGCATGCTTATCTGATAAGACCACAACTAATTGAACTATCCCTTTCTCAACTAAATGATGACCCAGGAAAAACAAACAATATTGTGGATGTTCATTCTAATTATGATGAATAATTTGAATTTCTCTGGGACAAACCTGACTGAGATGTGAAAGCCTCACCAACAACTGCCTTAAATCTCAGGGCATTAAACTAGTAAGACACATCACGGGCAATTTCCTAAATTCTGCAAATACCTCATGGTTTTGACACATGAAATAATCCTAGTTAATAATAGGTGTGCTGAAACATTTGAACATGTATAAATGATATATATATACAATTTATATAGTGTTATACGCCACAAACTGCATGAAAAATGCATTATTAAATCACTGGAGAAGTGCATTTTTAAAATGTTACAATTTTTCCTTGTATCAATGCAACAACTGATTTTCTTTTGTTTTATATGAGTGTGTTTTGTTTTGGGCCATCAAACTATTGTAAAATCTCTAAACAGAGTTCAAATATGCAACTTTAATACTATGTGTACATCTACGTTTTTTATAATTCCAGTCTGTACCTATAGCATCAAAATGACTTGAATATTTCTAAAAATGAAAATACTGCACAATTGGAAAGTGTATGACATTAACACACATGCAGGGATGGTCTTTCAGAGTTTAATGCACATTACCAGTGTGATGTGTGAGTTCACTGATACACTGTATCTCATTTTATTTGATTGAATACTGCAATGCTTACTGAAACATTATTTTGCAATTTTGGAGAAATTATAAAAAATAAAGAATAATAATTTTGTTTATGAAAAATAAAGCACTTATAGGGCATGTGAGTGGAATATGTCCTGAAACTGCTGTTCTACTATGTTAAAGAGACAAAACTGAATAAAACTGTATACAATCTTTCCCTGCATTATGCTTATTATTATGGATGAAATCCTGCATTGTGTATATATACACAATATGCTTTTCATAACATCTCAGAGGCCTAATGTTAAATTTAGCATCAATAAATTCTATTATATCATACTGGTATATGAAGATGTAGAAAAACTGACAGCTGTTGTTTTAAAATAACTATAATTATGCAACTTAAACTTTGTACATCAAGTACACTAAAACTACAACGTTCATTAAGTTCAAGAAGTTCTATTATGTTCAAAGTGATTCCGCCAGTACAAATTAAATGTGAAGCAAAAACTATTTGGGGAAACAACATGGCACAGAAGCAATGACAGTGTACTATAAACACTGAATCCTATACAATAGCTCAGCTGACTCTCTCTCATACGAGCAGAACCAGAAATACCCTTTGTCACTTAAAAATAAAATGCCAGTCTGTAATATAAAAACAAAGCAAACAGATTTTCCCAAAAGTGCAAAGTCAAATCCTTAGTGTTTCAACTTTCCTGGAGCACAATAAAAGCAGTTTTCCACATGATGGATCAGTACAAGAAATAAAACTTCAAGATTGACAATTCAATATATTTTTTCTTCTTAACTTTCCTTCCAGAAAACACAGAATGTTCCTAACATTGGCATATAGTTCCCGCTTGGATATTTTAGAAACTAAATAATAACATTCTAGGATTTTTTTTTTTGCAATCAGACTATAGTAATCTCTCTATGTTGTTGTCATTTAACAGAGTTTACAGTTGGTAAATATGCAACTTCAATATTCTGTGTACATACATGCTTCTTCAATTCTCCAATCAGTGCTTACTGTACCCAGCTGGTTATTTTGGGATCTAAATAATAACATTCTAGGAATGTTTTCTGTAGATTTTTGTAACCAAAAATGATATTTGTTGGAACATTTCAGGGAGTTTTGTTTTGTGACAACCTATAAGAGAACATATACAGAACATTCTCTATGGTTATTTTTACGGTTTTATTTTATAACCAAAATGTTCTGGGTACCAAAAGTTGTTAGCTGGGCTGAGTCTCCTTTCTTTGAAAAGAAAGTGTGGGAAAGCTCTGGACTCAAGCAGGGACATGATGTACGCTTACAATTAATGTCAAAAGAAAGCAGGGGGTTCCACACAAAAAGGGTGGAAAGCGGTGAAATCAGTAAGCTCTTGGTGAAGACTTTAAAAGTCAATGTTTTACTGGTTGTGACTGTGACTCTCAATGAAAATGTCTAAGGTCAAGCTAAATCCTAAGGGGAGACAGCACTGCACCACTGCAAATCCACCTGATGATTTCATAAACCTGCCGAGGTCAGAAGCACTGGATTAATGATAGTTCACGATCTTGTGGAGACAAAAGACTAGACTTCACAACCATGTGTTTATAGTCTCCAGTCAGCGGCCACACAGCAACCCCATAGTGCATAGTAATCCTCAATTGCTGAGGTATGACCAGGTTAAAACCTCATGATAATTTCTTACAATTGTTGCAACAACTACAGAGGAATGTTGCAATTTTGGTTAGGTTTAGATCACATGCATGATGCCAAATGGGCAGCAGTAAGAGGGAAGTGTGCCAAACAAAGAAATCGTTCTTAAAAATACACAGTCACACACAAATTAAAATATTTGGCATGAAACAAAGCGATAAAATTGAATTACAGAAAAAAGGTCTGCCATTCACCACAGAATGCCTGTTTTCTATTTAAGAAATTAAATTGTTATAGGCCTAACAAGTAAGCAGCTAACAAGCGGTTGGGTGTGCAGTGACACTGTGATCACTATGATCTTAGATCTTTGAGGGAAGGAACAGATATAATTACAGTGCCCTTTTCTGCTTTTCGGCAACTTCAACACCCACTCATTATCCATCTGAACCAAAAACGCATATACCTCAGTCTCCAATTTGGCTGTATACATATGAGAGCCCAAAAAATAGTAAGAAAAAAAAAATTTTTTGCTTGGAAGTTATTCTTGTATAAGACCTTTTGCTGAACTAAGTGAATATGGTTAACTTTTATTCTCTCTTTAACTCTTATGGTTAACTCTTTCTGGAAAATAATATGTTGGATAAAAAGATAATTAATTTACATTTAGCCAGTATTAGTGTCACAAAGAAGTATATACTGTGGTGGAGACTGGGTCACAAAGGGAGGTTACCACAAGGGCCAATGTACTAGCATCTATAAGGTTTTGAGGGAAAAAGTCCAATTTCCTATAGCAGAGGTTTCTTCTTGAATTAATTAATTAAAATAAAAAATGTATGTATATATATATATATATATATATATATATTAAGGCTTTCAGTCGATAGATTTTTAATCTAATTAATTACAGGGTGCTGCAATTAATTAATCTAATTAATCACAAACTAAATTTGGCTGTGAAAATACCCCCAAAAGATAATTTAAACCTATTATTGTGTTAAAGGGGTCATATGACACTGCTAAAAAGAACATTATTTGGTGTATTTGGTGTAATGAAATGTGTTTATGCGGTTTAAGGTTCAAAAAACATTATTTTCCACAAACTGTACATTATTGTTTCTCCTCTATGCCCCGCCTTTCTGAAACGTGTCGATTTTTACATATATATGTTGTAGTTAGCCCTGTCCTAAAACCTTACCTTTGTTTAATTTTGTTGTTTAATTAATTGTTTGTTTCATAAATGTTTTACAGCTTAAATGACTGTAATAAAACTATAATAAGCTCTAAATATTATAAGCTATTTAATGTCAGGTTCCATTGTGACAACATCCACTGCTAAGATCAAAACTGTTTTTCCCTGAACAATAGTGGAAATGCCCAATATCCTTTTTCGTAGTCAATACCTACATGTAGTCAAGGTATGTGCTTATATAGAACATAAATCAACACTGTGAAATCTTTACTGGAACAAAAATCCAAGTATTCAAACTCTTAGAATTTTAGAACTAATAATAACGCCACCAGTTGGCGACATTAGGAACTGTAGCAGCAGTAGTATTGTCAAAGCAGTGTTTGGCTGAACATAGCAACCGATTAGAAATATCAAATATCATTTTTGCCATTATGAGGATAGTGTTCAAGACTTCATGGGATTTAATACTTTACTGGATATCGAAAGATACAGCAAGCAAATGCTTTGAGGACTGTCCCAAAACAGTCTCTGATCGCTTTCCTGGCAAACTTAGGAATGTCTGAAGGACACATTTGCTTTTATATTACAAGCTATTATAATAATACATTTATTTACACTGGGGTGCACATTGAGACGTGTAGCCCACGTGATGTGAACTCTGCCACAAACCCTTGTGTTCTACCTCTAACTTTTCTGTTGGTGTGTGTGACTGACTGCTATTTGTGTGTTTCAGTATTTCTGCGCGTGTTGACATGAGCAGAAGAAGTGGTTCCTATCAAACAAACCTGCTTTTCTACTTTTCACTTCAAACCTTACGATATGCATCAATCTGGGTGATAAACAAATACTGAAACCACTAGTTTAAGAAACTCACATAGTATCGATATTATTATGTGAGGATCGTTCCTCTCGCCTGTCGCCATACAACAGGATCAACAATAATTAATATTTCAAGATCGATCCGCCCACCCGACGTCAGCTGGATTGGACGAACTGTGACTCATTTATTGTGATCACCAAAAAAAGTAAACTGTCGAACTTTATATTCAGAACTACAGAGATAAGAACAGCTTTCTAAAGGCGCGTGTTCCAGGTTCTGAATCAGATATAGCTCTATATCTGATATATCAAACCATTTGTCATGATGAACGAACCAGAAAACACATCCAGATGTCAAGGGTGCTTGAGATGTTTTAGTTTTTTACCTGTGCACTTTACAAGAGAAATTGTAAACTTGTGCTCTCTAGCTCTGCCTGTGGTAAGTACAGTACGTCCTCGTTTGTTTGTTTTATTTTAAATCTAAATCACATTTAACTGGTTTAATCGCTTAACTTATCAATGTTAGAATTGTTCTATGAGCATTATTATTTTTAACCAGTATTTAATTTTGTACAGTACATCAGTTTATCATCCATAAATGTGAAGTGTGTCTTCTTGAGCCCTGTTTAGTTATGTCAGAGGTGTCCAATCCATCAATCAGAGTCTAGTTCCCTAATACACACCTGAACCAGCAAAGCAAGATGTTCAAGATTATTAGAAGCTCCCTGAGATGGGAGACACGAAGTTTTCCACTTTCCAGTTCAAGCAAATGCTTATTGGAAATGATTGAGTGTTTAACACGCTGGTGACGCCTGCTGGTCAAAACGTTTTTATTTCATTTTTAGGGCTGTCGGTTTAACGCGTTAACTTAATTAATTAGTTATGAAAAAAATAACGCGATTACAATATTTTAACGCAGTTAACGCACTGGCCCCGCCCCCAGACCTGTACGGCATCTTATATTTCATATTGACTTGACAAATATGATGCAGGGCAACAACTTCATAAATGCAGTTATGCCCTAACATTCAAGATATTGGTGCAAAAAAAAAATGCCCCTGTATGAGTTTTGTCTCATATTTATATAGATATCACACTAGCAGCAAGAGTAATATCACAGGAGCTGATTTTGTCCTGAATATCACAAGCTTAAATGTGATTTTATACAACAGTTCAGTAAACAAGAAGTTAATATTGTGTTATATTTTAAACACGATATTATGTGTTTTTGCTCAATTTTGCAGAGAACATATTATCTTTAAAGCCACAGCAGAACTGTTGTGCATCTCCGAGCAACACAACGGTGTTTCTGAATGAATCCGCGTTTTGAACGAATCGAGTGAATCAATGATTCAAAGCCCATTCATTAAGAGAGCCGATTACTTCATTCCTGAATGAATCAGCCGTTCGAACGAATCGAGTGAATCAATGATTCAAAGCCCATTCATTAGGAGAGCCGATTACTTCGTTCCTGAATGAATCAGCCGTTTGAACGAATCGAGTGAATCGATGATTCAAAGCCCATTCATTAAGAGAGCCGATTACTTCGTTCCTGAATGAATCAGCCGTTTGAACGAATCGAGTGAATCGATGATTCAAAGCCCATTCATTAAGAGAGCCGATTACTTCGTTCCTGAATGAATCAGCCGTTTGAACGAATCGAATGAAAGACTCATAAAGACATTTACTGCCACCTTCTGGCAGATTTAGTTTCTTATTTAGAGTATCACTTCATTCAAAAATAATAATAATAACAAAAATAAAAACATTAAAGGGATAGTTCACCCAATTTTTTTTTTTTTTTTATTCTGTCATCATTTACTCAGCCTAATGTCGTTTCAAACCTTTCTTTTGTGGAACATAAAAGAAGGTTTGAAGACTGTTGGTAACAAAGCTGTTTTGCTTACCAATGACTTTCATTGTATGAACAAAAAATAGAAGTTACTGATATGTTTCTCAAATGATCTTCTTTTATGTTCCATAGTTTGTTAGGCCATTGCAGCCTAAATGTTTATGTATAATTTATGTTGAATCAAGTCAAATATTTCTTTCTAACGCTACAATTTGTAATGTCTACTTGATACTTTCTCATTTAACACAAAAATAGCATTAAATAATCGTTTGTGGGTATTTTCACAGTCAAATTCATTTTGCGATTAATTAGATTAATTAATCGAAACATCATGTAATTAATTAGATTAAAAATTTTAATCGACTGACAGCCCTATTTATTTTATATTTTATTTGATCTAGTATGTTCTCTGGTATGAGAATTTCTGCTTCCTACTACCTGCAACCAATTACAAGATAGCAAATAAATGGAAAACTGCTTTCTTTGAAAACCAATTGTCATCATGATTGTTTCAAGTCAGCAAAAGCAGTGTAATAGTATCGTTTTGGCATGCTGCTAAACCTTTATTATTCACTGACCATGTCACCCATGTGACCCATGTCTCTGTTGTTTCTTCTCATAGTTTTTGTCCTATCTTTTCGACTATTTAATTATTTTTGTAAGCACTGTGTTCTGTGGGCACCTGGGAAAGGTAGAGCTTGATGGTGTGGCTCTTGCCACAGCTGTGAGTTTTATATATTTATCTCCTCTTTAATTGATATGTGTAAAGTAATTTTAAATATATATTTTTTAAAATATAAGCGATTAATGAGAGTCCATTGTGTTTTCACCTACAGGTCATCAGTGTTATGGGTATTGGTATTGGTTATGGCTTGTCCGCAGCATGTGACACACTTATTTCTCAGGTAGAAATGAGTTTTCCTGTTCATTCACATATAAACAAATATAACCTTTTTATTTTTGTTTTTTTACATTGTTACACTGTCTTTTGCAGGCTTTTGGAGCTGGTAACTTACATCTAGTTGGTGTTATAACTCAGAAAGCAATTTTAATTCTGCTGCTCGCATGTTTGCCATGCTGTGCTTTTCTTATCAATACAGAGTCAATATTACTGCTTGTAGGGCAAAGCCCAGAGGTTGCCAGGTGAGCACTATTCAAGATTGTAATTAGCAGATCGGCACATACTGACCCTGAAATAAAACAAGAATTAATCCATGCAATAACATCCTTCAATAATAGCTTTATGGAACATATTCATGTGCTCAACAGGAATTAGTTATTAAAGAAGAAACAGGCTACAACATAACCTCAGAACTGTTATTCTGTTTCAGAGTATCTCAGCTGTATGTGAACATTTTTTTGCCTGGTCTTCCGGTATGTACTTACATTATCTAGAAAAGTGATCCCCACTTCAATGTTACACGCACTCTTATTTTGTCACGTCTCAAATTTACTAAAATGCTTAAAAGAAAGGCTCTCCTTTTTGGTCTAATGGTTGTTACTTCACAGATTTTGTGACTAAAATATGATTTTTCATGACCAGGTACATCTTTTAAAGTATTTAGGGCTCTCAGTGTAGAAAAATAACACTGTTATTTTTGTCTCAGGCTGCTTTTGTGTTCATTATTGAAGCAAAATATCTACAGAATCAGGTATGAGAAAGACATTAAAATGTAATGCTCTGTGAAAGCATGAATGTGAAATTTAATGAAATCTCCCATTACAGGGAATTATTTGGCCCCTGGTCATTACCGGAGTAGTGGCAAATCTCCTAAATGCTTTAATCAACTATATCTTCCTCTTTGTCCTGGACATGGGTGTTCCGTGAGTTTCCATAATATTTGCTGTTAAACTACGCCACAGAAAGTAACTAGAGAACTTACCAACCATGTGTATTTCATCTGCAGTGGATCAGCAGCTGCTAATACAATCTCACAGTACAGTTTGGCGATCATATTGTTTATCTACATCCGATGCACGGGTCTTCATAAGCATACTTGGCCTGGTAAGTTGGTGAGAAATCTGTTATTATATGACCTCTCTCCGTGTGTTTGTATGCAACAGTCACTGCAAGCTGATCCAGTTGACAGATACATTAAAGCATTTCTTTATTGCTGTATAGGTTGGTCGATGGACTGTTTGCAGGAGTGGGACTCATTCATCCAGCTGGCCATTCCAAGTATGCTCATGATGTGTGCAGAGTGGTGGACTTATGAGATTGGAGGACTGCTGTCAGGTTAGAGTGCACACTTGTCAAACTGTTATACAACATTTTTAGAGAATATGTCTAGTCATTTGTTTAGTATTATTAGAGTTGATATTGGAGTTGTATAGACCACAACTCACAGGATGTTGAATTGGAATGACAGCAAGAATTACATTATTTAATTAGCTCGCAAAACATAAATACATTATTAATTTTGAGCAATTATGACTTTAATATGCATTTATTGCATTTTTTATGACTTTGGGGAAAATTTCTGGAAAATTAAGTGTTCTTATATAAAGTATATCATTTTAAACCTAACATAAAAAGGACAGAAATAAAAGACTTTTAAAATATGTAAATGTACATCAGCACCGATAGCCTTGTGGGCAGCGCATCGACATACAGCGCCGTTGCGCTACTGCCGTTCACTTCCTGTCAGTTCTGATCTGTCCTATCGTAATAAAAGGCAAAAATGCAAATAATAAGTCTTTAAACAAATATGAAAATGTATTTTCTTTGATTATTAGTATTTTAAAATGTTTCTGATAATATGACTGTTTATGTGAATGATAACATAAAATTAGTGCTGTCAAACGATTAATCGTGATTAATCGCATCCAAAATAAAAGTTTTTGTTTACATTATATATGTGTACTGTGTATATTGATTATGCATATATAAATACACACACATACAATATATATTTTGAAAATATTTACGTTTATACATTTATATATTCATATGCTTATATTTTATATTATATATAAATATATTTAAAATATAAACATAACATATTTTTCTTAAATATATACATGCATGTGTTTGTATGTATATATACATAATAAATATACACAGTAGTATACACACATATATTATGTAAACAAAACTTTTATTTTGGATGTGATTAATCGCGATTAATCGTTTGACAGCAACTACATAAAATTGATATAACATAAAATTTATTTGTAAAACTATTCTTACAGCAAACAAATTTATGTATGAATGTGATTTAAATTTATCAAAAAAGGAATCACCTCAAGGCACTTGAAATTATGGGTGACACCCTAATGAAGGCTTGTTAGCTACAATGCGTCGGTGCACTTGTGTGTTATTTTTAATGTAAAGTCATGTGAATAAAGGCTTTTTAAATTTTTACTATCATTTCTAGTGCCTTGGAGTGATTTGTTTTTTGATGAATTTAGAAATCCTACATCCAAAAAGCACCGATTTATGGACTTTATACTGCAGCGGCATTTTTTGCATATTTTTTGATGTATGATTTATGATTTGAACTTTTTTTTTTATGGCAGGTCTGATAAGTGAGGTGGAGCTCGGAGCTCAGTCAGTTGTGTATGGACTGGCAAATATCGCATATATGGTATATATTTATTAGTGTGAAAGTGTTTTATTTCAAGGTTGCATGAACACTTAAAGTCAGTGGCTTGTGTTCAGTTCCCTATAGGGTTCAGTGTAGCTGGCAATGTGAGGGTGGGCAATGCCATGGGAGCAGGAGATGTTGCTCAAGCCAAGCTCTCTGCCAAACTCTCTATTATTTGTGCAGGTAATACTAAGAAAGAACAAAGATTTTAGATTCTGCTTACACAAATCATTACTTTATGCCTGTATACATCACTAGCTAGTACTGTAAATTATTTTTATACCATGCTAATATTCTTATGGAAATGTGGAAAATATTTTATTGTATTTTATTTTCAGTCTCTGTTGCAGTGGTTTTGGCAACTGTCTTTGGTTCTTCAAGGAATGTAATTGCTTATATCTTCACAAATGACAAGTGAGTGTTCTTCCTTAGTTAAAAACATTTGCTTCATAACTATTTTTCATCATTATCTCTGTACGTTTCTCCTAATATCACTAGTACTTAAGTGGCAACTCCAGAATGAACTTTGCTCATGTAGTACTTTAAATATGAACTTTATGTATTTAAGGCATTTCAAAATCTTTGTTGTTCAAAATCATTAGTACAGATACAAACAAAAAGTTAGTCATTTACAGTATACACTTTTTAATTCATAACAATATATTTTGCATCTATAATTAACATAAAATTAACCTGCTTTGAAAAAGAAATAAAATCATTTAAAGCCACAAAATTCAAAGCCTCAAAGTCATAAAATATGTAAAACTGATACTTTTGAAAACAGCATTTTGAGAAAAACAAGACTAATATTGGGGCAAATGTTTTCTTTCCTTCCTCTCACAGAGACATCACAATGAGGGTTGCCACGGTAATGGTTTTATTCGCTCCTTTCCATCTTCTTGACGCCACTGCGGTAAGTCATTAGCAGAGTTGTGTTAGAGCACTCACAGCCCTCATTAGTACTGACAATACTGACAATCAAACACATCTGAAACTACACTGCATAGAGTCATCTGGGGAGAAAATATGAATTATTATTTCTTCCTTCAAACCAACCAGGCAGCAAGTGGCAGTATAGTGAAAGGTCTGGCCAAGCAGAAGATTGGGGCTGTCTGCAACCTTGTTGGATATTATGCTGTTGGCTTTCCTATTGGAATATCCCTGATGTTTGCTGCGAAATGGGGAATTTTTGGTGAGGCATATATATAATGTAATAAATGAAAATAAATATATATTTTCTATCAGTTACATATTGCATTATCAGTTAAATATTGTTATTTTTTTACTGTTAAATACAATGTATCTTTATTATTAGTATGCTTATATATTATAGGTAATTAATTAATTCAGAATTTCTTTTTATCTTAATATTAATAAATTGTGTGTATATAATAAAAATAATACACATAAACAATAAAAATAATATGTATTTAATATGTATAATTAATATTAACTATACATTAGAAATACAATGTAAAACATGTTTATATGATTTCATAAATTTATTAATATTACATGTAAAAGAACAACAACTAATAATAGTACATTATATTTGATAATATTTCTAATTTAAATTAAAATACAAATACACGTCAAAAATAGCATTTGATATATTTTATAATTATATTTATTATTAATATGTATTTTTTTTTCTGTTTCACTCTGTCTTGCATTCTATGTAATCCATTCCTCTAATCTTCTCAAGGTCTGTGGACTGGTCTGTTAATTTCCGTCTTCCTTCAGTCAGTGTTCCTCATTGTCCTTCTTTTCAAACTGAACTGGAATAAAGCCTCTGAAGAGGTGAGGAATATAGAATTTCCTTCCATTAAAAGTTGATTTAGACCTTTTACAGTGCACTTAAGTGAAACTTTTCACTGATCTACTGATGAACTTTTCACTTTCCAGGCACAGATCAGGGCTGGTGTACTGACGAGAGGGGCGGATGATGGTAATATGTTTGCTGTGACACTAACAACTCAAGAAGTCTGATTTTATTTAATGAGGCATGCTAATAAGGGTCATTTTCTTGACAGGTGCGCAAGAGGACGGCGGATATATTGAGGGCTGTGATGCGAATAATGCCACAGATATGGATGGGCTAGTAAATGAGGAGACTGAAGTGCTAGTTGCTACAGTGAGGGTGCAGCTGCCATTGAGTGTGTTAGTGCTGCGCCGCGGTCTGGCTCTGGCAACTATGCTAGTGCTCCTAGCTGCTGGACTCTCCGTTAAGTTCTTTCTAAAGAAATGATGATGTTATAACAGCTGAAGGACTGGTACTGGGGAAATGTTAGAGTGTCTTAAAGCAGACAGAGAGTCCAGCCAGTGCATGTCAGGGTGCCACCCAAAAGCAACCAGTACAACATGTCCATTATGTCCACTTTGTACTGTATCTGCAAGGCAGGTGAGGCCTGTCAGGCACAAAGCAGGGCAGCTTTCTGGGATTTCAGACAATGTCCAGGCATTAAATATCAAGGTACTGTTTTGTTTACATGACATTGGCTATGTCATTTTGTACTTGCTCATTTTGTATTAATGTTTATATTTATTTATATAAATATATTTATTAATATGTCATTTACTCAAAGAAAAACAACCTGTACAATCCCAAGTCCTGCAATAAATCCAGCATATAAGGCTATATTCTCATTCCCACATGCTCTCACATCTTTATCATCTCATGAATTTATATTAAAAAAGCAAATGGTTTGCCGCAAACACAAATGACAAACATGAATATCAGGAACCTTTTTTAAATGAATGCTATTTCATGCACAAAAATCTACTTTTCGCACACTGGTGTAATTGAAGCCACCGTGAAATTAAAATTCAGTATTCTTATTTATGAAATAATGCAGTTTTTATTATAAATGATTTATCAGTGCACATCATTTTTTATGCATATAATTCATGTGTACTCATAAAATTAATTTAAACATATAAGCGTTTATTAAGATCTCAGCAATTAACAAACAATAATGATCCAGTCAATTCCCAGTGGACAAAATCGAGTCCCACCCTACATTTTTTTTTTTGTTTGTTCAAAAACATTTAACTCGGACATATGTTGCAATATGGAAGAAAAGACTATAAACTTTTGTTTCATGTCGACTGAGACCATGCCACATTGCAATTATGACTTTCACATAGATGTCGTTGGATTTCACGCTGGACCAACATGCCAGGATCTGGCGATGTGCATTTTATATTACATTTTTGTATTTTATTTGTCCTTAGATGACCTAGCTCTGAATATAGCTGATATAGAAAAATTACCTCAGACACTCTCTATATAATGGGATAGTGATTTATTGACCCAGGGATTTCATTTGTGATAAGCTGCTCTAAGTCAGCTATGTGCAATCTTTGCAGCTGTTTGAAAGTATGAATTAAATCTAATTATAGATCATCTTTTTACAATAAAAATGGGGAGTGCTGAAACACCTGACTTCTCAGCACAGGGCATGTGTGTTTTTATGTCTTGTTCAATTTAAATCATGTCACTGACTTTATCAGTTCAAATGAAACAACCCCCACTAATATTACTCTTTGCTCCCTGCAGCTGAATTACCCTTCCACACGTGACACTTATCTGAAAACAGCCCAGAGTCACAATCACATCAGACTGTTTAACCAGGAAAATTCCTTTGATTAGTTCATCTTAATGGGATATAGGTGGATCAAACATTTACATATAACAAGTTAGCAACAAACAATATGACAGCAGAGCTGTGGAGAGGCATATCAGCATATATGTGAATATATATTAATAGGCTTAGGATGGAGCGACGGACAAAATATTTATGATAAAAAGTAGATAATGTAGTATATATAAGTGGTGCATACAGTTTATGCACAAAGCCACTTAAATTTAAAACTAAAAATGATTTACATTACAAAAAATGAAAGACAACAATAAACGGATATCCTGTTCTATTTCTGATGTACAGTACGCCTTGTGGTTGTTCTACTTCATACAACAGTACAAATGGATCTAAACATTTGCTTTGATGCTTCCAGTGTAAACCATTTAAGAACCATTCTTTCAGAATGTTTTTTTGTGTTTAAAAACACAAGAGCCAAGGCAGTGTAAAGGGCTGTTCACACAGAAAGCGTTTTGACTGTTGTGCTTGCATCTCATGTCTTTTGCAGCATCTCATGCAAGACACTGTATTCTAAAAATGCAGCACTCAAGTTAAAAGAAGTTCAACTTAAAAAAAACACCAAGATCTTGCTGTTTTCCATTCCTCTAATTACTATGCATGTTTTACTATGCATGTTTTTCAATGCAAAACCCCATTCTGCGTGAATGGCCCCTGATGGAACCATCAGGGTTCCCTGATGGTTCCATCAGGAACAAAGTCTAAAGTTGAATTTCTTTTAACTTAAACACTGTGGTTTTAGAATGCTATGTTGAAACATGCCCATCTATTGCATTTTTTACACAGAAAACAACTGAAAAGCAGCACAGTGGAATTCATAAACGTATTCTGTGTGAACAGCCCCTTCTTGTGTATTTCGCAGGACCTCGCGCATGATATGTAATTCCAAAAGTGTGGTGCTTAAATTAAGTGAAGTTCAACTTTTAAAAAGCATGTCTCTAGACCAGTGGTTCTCAAACTGGGGTACGCCGTACCCCTGGGGGTACGTGAAGTGACAGACGGGGTACGCGAACAAAATTCAGAGTTTTGGCATTCATTTAATTCTACCCCAACTTAAAGTAACATTAAAACCAAATCAAATACATGATATCCAATCAGCTTACCTCATCTTTTGCGGTCAAAACTGACTGCATCCACACAAGCAGCGTACATGTGATAGGATGGCTGCTGAATATGCTGCTTTAGCAAACAGAGCTGCTGTTCAATGTATCTTTAAAGTAGATCTTCACTTAATAGTATGAAGTATCCAATCAGCTTATCCCATCTTTTGCGGTCAAAACTGACTGCATCCACACAAGCAGCGTGCATGTGATAGGATGGCCACTGAATATGCTGCTTTAGCAAATTGTGCTGCTGTTCAAGGTATTTTTAAAGTAGATCTTTCACATGAAGAGCAAATATTGACACGCACTGTACATTGAGATCGATTTAAACTCTTTTCGATAAAGACACATATCCTGTGCGAGTTATTGTTTTCATGTTTAAAATACGAGCAAGAATGCAAATTTCCCTGAATATCCAAACAATGGCAAATGTGACAATTTTTACAACAGTTCAACAAAAAAGGTCATATTAAGTGAACATTTTACATTTTAAATGTAGCCTACATTTTAAACAGAATATTGTCATGTTTGTTATATTTTGCAACAAAATAGTTCCAATGAAATCTGTAGGCCTATCATCTGGTGTGCGTTTCCAAGCAACATACAACGGTGTTTCATTAGTGAACGAATCTGCGGCTTTGAATGATTTGGAGAGTCAGTGATTAATAACCCATTCATAACTACAGCATTTTGCTTAGTTACTGAATGAATGAATGAATGACGCTACACCTGGCTCATTAATACTTGCCGCCACATATTGGCGGTTTTATTTTTAAATCTACAAGTAGGCTATCACTTCAATTTGCCATCATTTATTGCTTTATTTATTATATTAATAATACATTTAATGGAATGTCAAGAATACATAAAACATAACATACAATTAATAAGGATAGAAAATCTTTGCCTCTATAAAGGTAAAAAATGCACCTGTAAATCAATTTAAGAGGGCAAATAATGTCCTTTAATAGAAAAGGTGTGACTGCGGTCTAAGTGGAAGAGAGGGGGTACGCAGACGAATGTTATATGCCCCAGGGGGTACGCCGCTGTAAAAAGTTTGAGAACCACTGCTCTAGACCATGCTTTTTTTCATTCCACTGGCCTGCAACTCACACTTTTAAACACAAAAACGTGTTCTGTTTGAACAGCCCCTTAATATAGGCAGGCAGGATTCCTTAGGAAGGTTCCGCATGCAACTGACAACGTTTGCTTCGAGTTTCCACCATTCCACCTTGTTTAATAATACAGATTTCTCAATATATGACAGCGGCTTTATAGAATGCCTTCTTTTTGGCAGCATTTCTCCAGCCGCCTGACTAGAAATGTCAACTGAAGAGATTATATGACTGTGTCACTGGGGAACAGACCTTTTCCTGCTAAGCTGCTCAATTTTCTTACTACTTGGCCTAATACTGTGGACAAAGCAAGTGCACACAGAATAAAAATATAATCATCTGTCTAGGTCACAATATACAGCCTGAGACCAATGTGAAAATGCTTCTACTTTTCTAATTCAATACCATTTCTTCATTACCTCTCATGTTCACAGCATAGAGATATTCACAGTGAATCTATCTGAGGTCCAGGTTTCAAACGATACTCATTGACTAGATGGGAGTGGCTGTGGTAAAGTTTGAGTCCAAAGTAAAATTTGCACCAGCACCATAAGATACCTCAGGTAAAGGCACAGTGAGATGGACGCCTATTCCTACAGCTAGGATGAGAAGAGCAGCGAGGGTGGTCAGACCCCTCCTGAGGATCAGCTGAGCGGTAGAGAGCAGAACTGCAGGCTTTTCCTCCACTTGAGTCACGTTTGGCCCCTCGTGCACCACAGTATGGTTGAGCCCCTCATCCTGGTCTTGAGAGCTCACAACCACGTATCCATTCCCATTCTGAAACTGTAAGATAGACTGTAAGCGTTTTTTGTCAACACAATCAATGTAAATGTCAATCAATTATGTTTTTGACCCCAATGACTTTCATTATATGGACACAACTGTTGAAACATTCTTCATAATATCTTAATCTCTTCTGTGAAATGCAAATAAAGTCATAGATAGTTATCATGGGAACAACATGAGGATGAGCAAATAACAATTTTTATTTTTGGTGAACCGTCCCTTTAAATGTGTATGTATGAATGTACAAATCAGCAGAGATCATTGAATGCATTCGTGTTTTTTTTTTTTTAGTTAATGCATTAAACTTCTAGTTCTTGTTGATTATTTAAAATAAAAACTACAAAGACAGAAAAAATACCTCTGCATTGAACACCACCTGGTAGAAGCTGTTGCGATGGTTCGGGGTCATTGCTCCATTTGCTGCTCCACTTGCACTCTTTCCTGTACGCTCAATTGCCTTTAAAAGAGAAAGAACCTCTTTTAGTCATCAACTCAGCACATGATCATGAGGAGTATAATCAGAAGAAAGGTGCCGTTTTAATAGACCTGATATGCTTACCTCTTCTGTCATTTTCTTCCAGTTTAATTTAAAAATAGCCACAATGAAAAAAATCGCTAGCAAAAATACTGCAATGAGGAGGCCCAGCCAAAAGCCTGAAAGAGCACACAATAAATAATTGTAGATATTAATAGGTTCACTGTAATCGAACACCAGTAATTGTGACAAGAGTCATTATGACACATTTAGACGAACCAGCAACTTGTAATTTAGCTGTGAACATCAGAACAATGCTCGATGGGAGTCCAATGCAGTAGTAGCCAAAGAGGTTAGCAATAGCGGCTATCTTCTGCTGCCCTGTGCCAAGAAGAATGCCCATGCCAACACCCTGAAAGAAAAGAAAACTGTAGTACAGGAACTCATAATATACACAAATACACACAAACAAACCAACAGAAATGATATATAATATAATATGAACGTAATTTCTGGCAATATTGTCTGCTTGATTGCACAGACACTATTTGAAGAGAAATGAACTGAGCTGGACGATGACATCACTGAAAAATTGACTGTTTACTATTGTCCTCCTGCATTATCGACACACCATTTTCCTGTTTAACACTGTAAAGCTGCTTTGAAAACAATCTGTATTGTAAAAAGTGCTATAAATAAAGGTGACTTGACTTGACTTGAATATCCATTTTAATACAGTAACTGCACACAGGCACATATACATTACATCCATACATTTTATTTCAGTCATTTTTTTAGTTCAACTTGAAATAACTAAGTACTAAAATAACTAAAACAACTAAAAATAATGAATACAAATTCATGAAAATATACACATTTAAAAAAAACATGACAAAAACAACAAAATTACTAAAACTTTAACAAGAAAACTAAAAATGAACAAAAACATGAAAACAATTTTATTGAAAATATAAAGAAAATCTAATTAAAATACATAAAATAACTCAAATAAAATATAATTTATACATTTTAAACATTAAATATAAAATCATTTAAAATATAAAATCTAATTTAAAATGTAAAAACTATGGTAGTATATCAATAATACTAAAGTAACACTGCAACAAAGGCATCATAAGTTGTTGTTTTTTAGTTCAATTCATGCTACAAAGTTTCTGAAGACTGGCTCTTTTAACTAAAAGGCAGTACTTTCATTCCTACACTCCTATACTTCTGCATTACAGATTCTCCCATTCATTTCAATACAGGTGGTCCATTCTCCTCAATTTATATACTGTCACTGGTAAAAATGTTAAAAAATTAGAGAAAAAAAAGTTGCGTAGAACTCACCAGTATTCCATTGAAGAACTGAAGAGGGCAGTAGATGTTCAGTAGGTGAGACACAAGCTCTGCTATAGCCCTAAATATGACAAACATCACAAAATGGAAAACTGAAACGCAGCTGTTGTTGACATTGTTTCTGTTAAGTCTTAATTCTTAATTTGAAGACTGGAGTGTTTATAGATTTGTTAAAGTGTACTTATGCCAACAAACATTTGTTATTTTTTTGGTGCTTGAAATAATGAGATAAGTGGCTTACTCATCGGAAGTGAATATGTAGCCAATGACTGTTTTTGTCGAGCCCAGAACAAAACCTTGAAAGATTGCTATAACAGCTGGGGAACAAAATGAACGTGTTTACATGACATCAATCGGTGCTGCATATGACTGTCGACAGGCTTGCGGATGATTGATATCAAATGTTTTTACCTGCACTGATGAGAGACACCTTGCTGGTGAGAATGGCAGCAGCTGTTTCTCCAGCACCAAGTGCGTTTCCCACACGAACACACGCTGCACCTTGCATTCCTAATGGGATCTGGCATATAAGAAGGAGGTGAACAAAAACAGCACCATCATGAAAAGGAAAAGGCACATTTTTTATGATAATATGAATATTCTCAGATCATCCAAACACACCATGTAGTTGATGTACGCCAGCATGATAACCACGTGTTGAGCAGCCAGGTCCACCTCACTCAGCATTCCTGATGGGAAGAGGAGAGTTATTCATGAAGGAATGATTCAATGAAAAAACAATAGTAAAAGCAAACTGGTTAAGTATACAAACATAAACATATTTATTTTCTGTACTGTGAATACACCACTGTTATTTTACCACTATTGATATACTATAATAGTTCTTATCAATATTTTACATTTGTTTTTATTTTTTTTATGGTTTTAGTTCACTATTATAACCACGGAATGTACCTGCCAAGAAGCCTCCAACTTCATAGATCCACCATTCAAAACAGGTCATCAGTGTGCTGGGAATGGCTAGCTTCATGTAGGACCCCCAATCCTGCAAGGCTTCTGAAGACCACCCTTTTGGAGGAAAAGGAAACCCGTAAGAAATTAAGTCTGAGTGTGTTTTGAACCTTCATGACCCAACCAACCTTCACACAGGGACCTGCATTCAGAAGTAAATAAGCAAATGTAGCAAGTAGCGACGGTATACTAACCTTTCAGCTATACGAAGGTTATGTTTTTTAAATTGTGTAGGTTGTCCAGTAACAAGACAAACACGCTCTTCAGAAACTTTCCTATTAGCGATTCATTATAGTGAGAAGCGTTAGTCTGATTCAATTTATTGTCTTGGAAAGTCTTATTCGATTTAGTTAATGGCCTCGTCTTTTCTCTGCCATATGCAGAAGAATATATACGCAAGAATTATTCCAGTGAATCGACTCCCAGTGGACGGCCGTGAAAAGTCTAATTCAATTTAGTGAATCGAATCATTCCAAACGATGCTCCCTGTCATATGCTTAAATCCGAATTATTGTAGGAAAATGGTTCACCCTAAACAGCATTCAAAGCGTTATTTTGTTCAAGAAAAAGACTAAAGTAACAAAAAGTAGCTTGACTAGGTAGTTTAAAAAAATAGGCAATCAAGTAGCTTTTTTGCAAACTACACTTTCAAAGTAACATCCACAAAACTCACCTCCCCAAGTTTTTTCATGGAGCCTCCGCCAGCGGATGAAACAAAACAGGGCAAAACAATTAAAAACCTGAGCAAAGGTATTTGCAGCAGCAGACCCACTAAAAATGAACAGAAAAATATGAGAATACTGAAAACCAAAGACATGTGAAAAGACACATAAATAATATGGAAAACATTTATACTCACTAGACTCCAAAATCCCACCAGTACAGCAGAAAGTAGTTCACTATCACATTGGCAACATTGGCAACTGCAGATGCGAACATCTGAGGCTTGATCACTCCCTACAGAGGGTTCATGAGCATGACAATATCAACATACAAGAACTGAATGCAGTTATTAAGTTGTTCATTTCCTTAAAAAATCATTGTATGTACCTGGTTCTGAAGATATGACAGTTGCAGCTGATACAGAAACATGGCCTGTAATATAGACATGGGACAGGATGAGGATGAATAGCAATGTATAAAAAGAATTATTTGATTTGAGTTCATCTGGGCTGGAAATGCAATCCATAATCATCCATTAGTGGACCTTACCGGAATTGCTGGCAAATATGCAACCACATACAGCTGTGCAATCCTGAGAGAGAGAAAGTGTCAGTCAGTCAGTCTCCATAGTGTACTCTAGTGCATCAGCATTCAGCAGTCAATATCAATCCAAATATGTTCAGAAAGAGTGCGCCGGTCACCTGGCCACCTCAGGGTCCTGCCCCAGATAGAGAAGGAGAGGCTGGGTGTTCACAAGCAAAGCCCAGCAGGGCAAACTGAAGAGCGTCAGAATTATGATGCCTCTCTGCAGGATGACGCCTACACGGAGAAGGTTCTTACTCCCGAATGTCTGAGGGCAAGATGAAAGACTGTCGTAAGCTATTAGTTATTTTACTATACACTATCAGAAAACAAGGTACAAAACCGTCACTAGGATAGTACCTTTTCAAAAGGTACTCTTTGTACCTTTTATATAAAGGTACTTTTACTCTTTGGGTATGTAAGTAAATAAACACTAATATGTAATTTAAAGTACTATGTGCTTTTAAGATACTATTACTGTATATACCATCATGGGGATAAATAAGGGACAAAAATGTACCTTTTAGCTTTTTTACCTTTGCTTCAGTGAAAGCTTTATAGCCTACCTTTTACTATGACCTGTGTTAACGGTTTAGGGGAATCAACCTAAAAATGTTTTATGACTATAAATGTTATGACAGAATCTTGTTTTTACCAATTACTTTAACTGATCTATAATGAAAATAACACATAAAACCTGTTAATGTTATTTATGTCGATTTCTTTGCATATCATACAGCATTTCATCTATATGGAATGCAAGACGTCATACAATATGCTTGAATATAACAATGGAGAATCATTTGTATTCTAATGCCTTTGAAGTATTTAACATAAACAAGACACGTTATTTATAGACCTTAGTAAGGTTAGACGCCATATTGAATTTCACACATATAAACTAACAACAAGCACTAAATAAAACTGATAAATAACAATTTTCACAACTGTTTATGGAGTTTTTGTCCACTGAAAGATTTTTTCGGAAAGACATTTTGTCAGCTGAACAATCGGTATGTTGTTAAACAACAGTACAACCATTAAACGCACTGTACTTAAGTCCCTCACAGCCTCATTTTCATTGCTGTCAAAAACTGTTGTGTGATTCACGGTAGTCCTTTCATTATTTAATTTATTTTTTTTTATTTCAGGCTTTTGGTTTATTATTTTATTAAGCAGTTGGAGTGATATTTGTGTATAAAACACACCTGTGATACCAAAGTGTCGCATGCCAAAGCAAGTCCCAACCCCGTTGCTGCAGCTGTTACATTTATTGTCTGAAAAACAAATCAAACACATTTTGCTTAATGCTCTATAACTACATTGCACATCTTAATAATGTGGTCCATAACACATATTGGCCGGCAGAAGTTTTGAATCGAACAGACTTACAGCTGAGGCCATGGCATAACCCGCTAGCACAGTGTTCCCCAGGCGGCCACAGAACATTGTCACCACAAAGAAAAGGAGGAAATTCAGGAACCGGCACACAAGCTAAGAATACAAACAAAGAAATATTTAGCACAAAATTAAGATGAAAGTTCTGGACTCACATGGATTATGGCTGTGAAAGTACACAGTCACATGGATGAAAAACAAAGCACCTCTGTGAAGATTCTTGAGAGAATTTTATTTGTAAACCAATTTCTTTAACTGATCTTCTTTTGGAAATATCCCATGCTCTTAATGTGATTTCTAATCTATTCATGACAGGCATATTTTTTTTTCAGTATTTATTTTATGCAAGATGCAAGACATATCGTACATGATTATGGATGCATTTAACAATCAACAATCAACTCATCCAGGATTCATTTATATTCAAATGGACATGCATGAAGACATAATACAAACTGTACCCAAAACAGATCATGGTCTATTCAGTAATGGATAATTTTTTGTATAAGTGGCTGCATTTCTCTGCCAGCTCTCTACTATTCATACAAAACAAGCATAGCACATTATCATGATGGGTATGTGACAGACTCCTCACCAGGGGTCCAGTCATGCACAGGATGTGGCATAGCTCTTCTCTATACACCAGAGGGATGCAACGCCTCACAAAACCACAGCAAAACAGCTTGGCACTGGGCTCCATTGACACGGCATCAGTTCTGGGACTCGAGGCGTCCATGATCTTCTCAGTAGTGATCCTCGAAGACACTGTAAGAGGCCTGGCTTTGCTTCATAGACTGTAAGGGACCCTTCTACCGCTGTTCATTCTTCAGGTCCGCATTCAGCACCTTTGAAGGCTTACTGATTAACTGAGGTGAAGACAATGAGAAGCTTTGATTTAATCCACAGGATGGGAGGAGGATGTTTGCAATCCTGGCAAAGAGTTGCATTGTGTGATGATAGATTTTTTCACAAGATCAATCAGTTATTTTTAAAATCTAATTACAAGTTGATTAACAACTGTATTTACAACACATAAATGTAATAAGTATAATGATTCTATTTAATATAGCCAGTATTGAGTTGAAAATGTATAGTTTAGTGTATTTAACAGCAGAAGACTTCCAGCTCTAACTATGTAACCCATGCCTGAGTTACAGTTGGCTCTAGCTCCACCACAACAACAAAGTTACTACTTTGAAAAAAGCTTTACATATTACTTATTGTTACTTAAATGATTGACTTATTGTATCACAGCTTGGTGGATCGTTTACTAGTGGAGTGTTCTCTGGTGTACATATGAAAACTCTAAACACCACAAAAAAAAAGTACTCCTCAAGTAAACAAATACTAAAAATTACTATTAAAATTCTTACAAATGTTTTTTTTTTTTTCAAAATACATTTTTACTTTTATTCAGCAATTGGATGCATTAAATTGGTTAAAAGTGACATTAAAGACATTTTACATTGTTACAAAAACACATTTGAAATAAATGCTGATCTTTTGAACCTCTTATTTCATCAAATAATCCTGCAAGAAATGTATTATGGCTTATACAAAAATATTAAGCAGTGCACACTGAGCAAAATTAAGCATATTAAGCAATAATAAAGCTGTTTTCATCATGATGATAAGAAATGTTTCTTGAGTAGAAAATCAGCATATTAGAATGATTTCTGAAGGATCATGTGAAACTGAAGACTAGAGTAATCATGCTGAGAATTCAGCATTGCCATCACAGGAATAAATTACATTTCAAAATACATTAAAAAAGAAAACATTTTAAACTGTAATCATTTTTCGCAATATTGCTGTTTTTACTGTATTTTTGATTGTCTTGGTGAGCATAAGAGATGTCTTTCTTTAAAAACATTAAACAATACAATGTGTAAAAATACACTTTGCATAAAACTTATGCTACTAAATCATCTCGTTCTCAGGTTTTTTATACTCCACATGACCTTTGGCCTTTTCACTTTCAATGACCTTCAGATTACAATGACAAATATTTTTTGCTTATGCATGCCATTCACATGATATGCCATTCACACCCCCTCCATTAACCCATATGAAATGATTCATCCAGCTGCTCTTTTCAACCTAGAGCCACAAATATGACTTTAACATTTAAAAGCCAAGATTTGTTTATCATTACAACTGGCTTTTGATTGTCATTTGCCGGTAATGTCACTGTAATTGTAGATCTATTTTGGTTTGTTTCTTCATATAGTACAACTCACAGCCAAGAACATTTACAAACAAATCAATGAATCATCAATCAGCTTCCAAGAATCAAGTTCACGAGTGACTAATACCTAAACTAACGTACATTAGACTCACGATGTGTTGGACCATCATATACAGTAGATGCGATTTCATAAAAAGGATGACTTTTTTAAGGAGAAAGGCAAACATTAACATGTTTTTCCCTTCCTCCTCAGTGCCTCACACCAACCTTTGAACCAGTGTGATGTTCACAAAGCTGAAAGTCCTGGCAAGATTTCAAGAAAAAGAATAAGAAAAAAGAGAGAGAAAGAAAAAGATGTTGTAACAGCTGCTCTGAGTTCATATAGCTGTACTCATGAATTTTAATATTGCAAATGTGTGATGAGTAACAAATTATACATGCAAGTTATTTTAGTAATTTTCCATCATTTGCCAAATAAATATTGTGCATACACCAATATGTCTCCTTTTATTCTTTTTAAAATTATGTTTAAAATATTAAGAATGTGTGCTAAGGATGAATGAATATCAGAACATCTGTTTTATCATTTTCACCTTTAATCTGTTTTTTTTTTTAATCAAAACAAATAAAATCAGGAATGACTGATTATATAAAATATGATTCAGAGACTGCTCATGATTGAAAACTCTGCAGTTGTATTTGTTGCATATTATGCAAAGCTATGATGTTTAAAAATACATGTAAAAAGTGCTTTGTATTTTGTTTCTTTTAAGAATCATAAATTCTAACATAAAAGGCTTAATGTGTCAGAGGACACGAGTAAAATAGGAAAAGGGTACAAATCCCTGATTTTTTCTAAGGATTGTGGCATTTTCCTTTCTCATTACTGCAGAACATGGTCAGGAGATGGGATTGTTTCATTCAAGGTGACTGTAAAAATGACTTTCTGCCCCATGAATCCCTGGGGAAAAGGTAAAGATGTGATAGATTATCCTATCAATGTTGTTCTCAAACAATTTCAGTCAAACATAAGAGTCCAAAACATCATTAAACTGCTGCTGCCAGCTGGGAATTAAAAAATTGCAAATAAAATATACAATTTCGAAACAAACGAAAAGTTAATTTTCTAAAGTATATATATATAAAAAAGAAGTCGTCTGCAGGTTTTCAGATAAAACCTTTTAAAATAGTACTTTCTTAACCAGTGTTTTGTTTTGTTTTCCAATAAAACTAAATATTCTTAAAAAAATATATATTTGCATTTCTGTTGGTTTGTTAATTGTTTTAAACCTCATGTATGTAATGCTTCAGAAATGATTAAATGTTACCCTGGACCACAAAACCAGTCTTAAGTCACTGGGGTATATTTGTAGCAATAGCCAAAAATACATTGTATGGGTCAAAATTATAGATTTTTCTTTTATGCCAAAAATCATTAGGATATTAAGTAAAGATCATGTTCCATGAAGATATTTTGAAAATTTCCTACAGTAAATACATCAAAACGTAACTTTTGATTAGTAAGATGCATTGCTAAGGACTTCATTTGGACAACTTTAAAGGCGATTTTCTCAATATTTAGATTTTTTTGCACCCTCAGATTCCAGATTTTCAAATAGTTGTATCTCGACCAAATATTGTCCTATCCTAACAAACCATGCATCAATGGAAAGCTTATTTATTTATTTTAATTTTGAAAAATTGACACTTAAGATTGACACTTGGAAACTATAACTTTCTAGAAAATGGCTAAACAGAAAATACCTGGGATATACTGTATGTACAAACAGCTACAGCTCTATGCTCTGGTTTTCAGATAGAGATTGAAGTTGAATGGATGAGAGATGAAGGCGTAGTAAAGTTTGAGTCCAAAGTAGTATTTGCTCTGACAGCATAAGACACCTCAGGTAAAGGTACAGTGAGATGGACGGCTATTCCTACAGCAAGGATAAGAAGAGCAGCGAGGGTGGTCAGACCCCTCCTGAGGATCAGCTGAGCGGTAGAGAGCTTTTCCTCCACGTCTGGCTCCTCGTTCTGATCACTCGAGTTCATGCTCATGTACTCATCCCCATTCTGAGAGCAGACAAGACATCAAGCTCAGTTTCCAGAGATGTTTTGTGTTAAGATCAGTAAAAGTCATCAGACATACCTCTCTGTGTCTCGCTGTGAGACTATCCGGAGTTGACATTGCAGGGATTTTACGCTTTCCAGCTCTTTCCACTGCCTGAAATGTTATGGATGTACCATACATCATACCATATAATTGATGAGAACAGAAAATAATTAAAAGCATGGAGATTTTAACTAAAATTACACTTGCATTTCTGGAAAGAAATAACTGTAATTGCATGACAACAAAAACATTTTATTTTTGTTTTTTTATCAGCTTTACTCAACAATCTATACATACAACGCATCAGTCTTTGCAGTGTAAAGCTGAATAAAAAGTCAAAATTCACAATGTAAATAAACTCATAATATTACTACATAAAATAATCAGATTTATATAATAATAATAACAATTTAATTCATAATACTAATAATAATTTCTATTAAATATTTTTGTAAATAATGTACTGTATTCAGTGCATTTATTATTTAATATTATTATTTTAATATTTAAAAAAAAAAAATATATATTTTCTGTTGACATCATAAGCTTTAAAATAAATAAATAAAACGTCAAAATTCACAATGTAAATAAACTCATAATATTAATACATAAAATAATCAGATTTTTATAATAATAATAAACATTTTTTTTTTTTGACATCATATGGGCAGTACAAGCTACTGGATAATGTTAACAAACAGCTTTAAAAAATAAAGTAAATAAAGCTAATTAGACATTGTTTTATCAAACTCACATTCAGTCTGGATCCATTTTGGTATGTAAAAGCCACTTTTCATAATCTGATCAAATCCTGATGGACATAATCAAGTCTCACCCTATATTTTTTTCCTCACTGAATATCTGTTTTCAACACGTTATGAAGTAAAATAGACTGTGAATTGTAATTCATTTTTACTAAACATCTTAAAAAGATCTTTTGTAAAGATGATTACAAAAAAACAAAAATAGGAAGCGCACCTGAAATACTGAAATATACCTCTTTGGTCACTCGCTCCCAGTTGATCTTAAAAATGACTGCAATGAAAAAACTGGACTGCACACATACGCAAATGAGAAGTCCCAGCCAAAAGCCTGTGAAAGCAAGAGAGGACATTGCTGTAGGACAGCTGTTATCTCATTACAGAAATGTTTGAATGAATGCTGTTCTGGGTGCTCGAGATGCATTAATGCAATTCTGCAGGGACCTGTACTGCGTCCACTGATGTTCTCTACGTGCTTCAACCCAATGAAATTATGATTTAGAAACCAGATGCTAACATGGTGACCACAGAAGATGACAAGGTCACAGAATATCAACGAGTACAATGAGTGACAATTTATTTGAATTGTTAATAAGATCACAGCATGAAAAAATGAAGGAAAACAAACCAACAACATCTAGTTTCACAGCAAACATGAGCGAGGTGCCAAGTGGAAGTCCAATGCAGTAATACCCAAAGAAATTAGCTACAGCTGCAATCTTCTGCTGCCCTGAACCCAACAGAATACCCATGCTGACACACTTGAGGACAGAACAAAAGAATACATTTAGACATTTACATTTTTGCATTTACAGAACATTTATCTGACTGTGCATTCAAACTATACATTTTATCCGTTTGTGCGTTCCAGGTGAGCCAATCAAACACTTAAATGATTACACTGCAAAAAACATGTACTTAAGGAGCAAAACGTGCATACGATTTTGTCCAAGAAAATATTTTCTTATCCCATTGGCAACTATATTGTTGTTAAAATTATGCTTCAAAAACAGAAAAACAATTCACCAATGGGGTGAGAAAATAAACTTCATTCAAGATACATTCTTCATTACTCATTATACATGTTTTATTTAATGTATATATTTATTGTGAAAAAAATTGGTGTAAAATTTCCTTTAAATTAATTTTAGCTATCAGATTTTACAAATGCATAAAAATGGCAAGTAACACATTGAATTAAACATTAAACCTTTAGGTAGAAAGACTGAAATGGTATTTTCTTTTAATCTTGTATTATTTATAACTTTTTATTATATAGCCTACAATTTTTCAACTTAAAAAAAAAAAGTACTTATTTTTGGATTTTTTTTTACTTTAAGAAGGAAAAAACAAACAAACAGTGCATTTGGAAAACACAGCCATCTAAAGCCATGCATAAAAATAAATCACTTGTCAATTCTTCTGAAAAAACAAATAATAATAATAATAGCAATGTAAAGTACTCACAACAAGACCATCAAAGAACTGAAGCACACAATAGATGTTCAAGAGTTTGGAGACGAGTGCCACAATATGCCTACAAAATAAGACACAATCACCAGTACAGTACTGTTTAAAGAACATCATTACTGCAAGTCTGATTTGCAAAACAAATACCTACCCGTCTGATGTAAATAAGAAACCAATCACAGTTTTTGTTGATGCAAGCACAAGACCTTGCAAAACAGCCAAGGCAGCTGCATCCAAAAGATAAAGGAAAAGAAAAAGGACGTGTCAGACATGAGCAGACAATGAAAGATGAATGTGTCTCAAAGGAATATGACTGTTTGTAAACCTGTGCAGCTGAGGGACACCTTGCTGGTGCGGATCGCTCCGGCCGTATCTCCTGCTCCGAGTGCATTACCCACACGTACACACGCCGCACCTTGAATCCCTAATGGAAACTGGCATCCCAGGAAAATACATTACTGTTCAAAGGTTTGGGGTCATTTTAGAGACATCTCTTATGCTCACCTAGGACACATTTTTTAAAATAAAAAATACATTAAAATATTATTATCATTTAAAATCACTTTTCTATGTTAATATATTTTTATAAAATGTAATTTATTCCTGTGTTGATCAAGCTGAATTTTCAGCAGCCATGTCACATGATCCTTCAGAAATCATTCTAATATGCTGACTGATTTGATTCTCAAGAAACATGTTATTAGCAATGGAAACAGTTATGCAGTTATTATTCTTTGATATTTAGAAAGTTCAAAAGAACAGCATTAAAAATGTCTATTCTGTCACTTTTGATCCATTTAATGCATCCGTGCTAAATATAAGCATCAATTAATTAAAAAAAAAACCTGCTGAGTTCTCTAATAAATTTCATATACTTTGTTTGTCTGATAATGTATCAAGTAAATCATTGTTTGACAAGGGACATAGTAGGAAAATGGAAGCATTTGCTAATTTTCCTTTGGGAAAGTTATAATTGGGTCAAAATTAGGACTTAAATTACCATGTAGTTTATAAAAGCCAGCATAATGACTGCATGCTGAGCTGCCAGATCCAACTCTCCTAGCATGCCTGAAAGAGACGGACATAAGGCAATGCGTTTGACAGTATTATAATGTTGCATTAAAGTGGTTTCTCTCTGTGTTAAAGCTTTTACACAAGGATTTTCTCTTTTCCTAAAGCAATCATGCATGAAAAATAATTTGTGGCTGAAATTAATAACCTTAAACCACATTAAGCACTACATCCAAACAGACATTTTAATTGGAGGCCATTCTTCATGTTTAGGCCTAATGAAATGCATAATTCAATTTCAGTTTACAGGCAGTGGTTTCTGTGTATTAACACAAAGGTTTGTTTTCGACTTTAGTCTTAAAAAGCACCTGCTAAGAATCCTCCAACCTCATAAATCCACCACTCAAAGCAGAGCATCATGGTACTGGGGATGGCCAGTTTCATATATCCATCCCACTCCTGCAGAGAGCCACATGACCAGCCTGTGGAGAGCAGAGAAAGATTTCTCAGACATAGAGTGGTATTTTATGCATTTATGTAAACAATATAGTAAGTTTGTCTGGTTTATCTGTAAGTTTAACTAGCTAGTTAGCTCACCTCCCCATGTTTCAACATGGAGCTTCTTCCAGCGAATATATAAATAGAGGAAAACACAAATATAGACCTGAGATATGGTATTGGCAGCAGCAGATCCACTGAAATACAAAAGCCAGAAAAATACACGACTGTAAAAATGGTACAGTAGTTGCATGTCCTTGTACGGATTCAAATTTAAGCAGTATCAAACTAAAACAAGTGTAGTTGTTCCAAATATCAGAGTACGATTACGATTACGATTAATACTGAATAACTTATTAAACTTTAGACACAATATGGTCAGTGCATAGCCAATGGGTGGAGCTTAACGTTCAGCTCCCCCTCTTTGGATGTAATGGCTGGTGCTTGAAGGTCCAGCCACACCCTAACTCTATCACTAAACCTAATTAGATCAAGCTCCACCCATTAGATCCGTAGAGGTGGAGCTGGACTAGGACAAACTCCACCCATGTCATTTTTTTTTACTTAGTATTTTTACTCTGCAAACAAAAATAGTTCCAAACAGAGCCATAGCAGAATCATATGGAAGCCTTTTTCTGCCACATAAGAAAAAAATCATGCTGTGGTAAGGCATAATTATGAGACGAAAAGTCAAAATAATGACTTTAAATGGCGTAATTATGACACAAAGTTGATATCATGAAATAGTCATAATTATGACTACATCAGAAATTTTGATTTGAATATATGCTTATATTCAGAATTTTGACAAAAATATCATAATTATGACAATAAGTCAAAATTATGAGATAAAAAGGCAAAAATGACTTTTTAAGTCATCATTTTGACTTTTTATCTCATGACTTTTTAAGTCAAAATTTCAACTTGGTATGTCATAATTCTGAACTTCAAGCCCATCATTTCAACTTTTCATCTCACAATTATGACTTTTAAAGTCATAATTATGACTTGCCAAAGCATGATTTTTTTTCTTAGAATGATTTTCATAGAATCGTGTCGCAACTATTAGAGGCTATCATTCCTAAATCAGTGTTTTGAATGAATTGGTTCAGTGAACGATGCAATGACTCACTCATCAACATTTTTGATCAAATTGATTCAGTGAAGGATGCAATAACACACTCATAAAGACAGTGACTTGATTTATTCCTAAATGAATCAGTGTCTTCGAATGAATCGATTGAATAAACAGTTTAACTGCTCAAGTAGTCACATTACTGCATGACTAAATATGTTCAATCTGTTTCGAGAACCGGAACTGTTGTGTAAATAACCAATACAGCATAACTGTGTATAAATGATTGACAGGGATTACAACCCTTCAAACTTACTATAACCCAAGGTCCAACCAGTTCAGAAGGATGTAGTTTGTCACCACATTTGCAATGTTGGCTGCAATGGCTGCATACATCTGAGGCAGAATCACTCCCTACAGACCCAAAACAACCACTGTTAAACCATGCTTTGGATCTATTGTCACTGCTGTGAAATTACATTGAGTGACACATATGAAGTCACTCTGTATCATACAGCGAGATGATCTCTGCCAATAAAGATCATACCGTAACAGTTGGAGGCTGACTGTGATAGTTACACAGCTCTACAGGTTTTAAGATCTTGCATGCAACAATGCTTTTTGAAGAACTCAGCTAAGGTGCTTATCTGCACTTATCTGCCAAAAAAAGATTGCATACCTGGTTCTGGAGATAGGCTACTTGCAGCTGATGCAAAAACATAGCCTGTGTGAAAAGAGAGAGAATTAGAAACTCTGCTGGTTGAAGATGGGGTGTGTATATATATGTATCATATTTCAAGCTGTATCATGTAAATTATGTAACTGTGCTGGCAAGAGGAAAATTATGCTATTTTTTATGACTCACTGGAACTGCTGGCAGGTAATAAACCACATAGAGTTGAGCTATCCTGAAAAGAAGCACATTTGTAACTGTGAAATAGAGGACAAGGAAACATGAATGATTTAAAAAAGAGAGCTGTGAGTTATTATACAGCAGAATAAATCTGCTGCGCAGTGTCATTTCCATCTGGGCCTGCATCTAAATTAAGTATTACAACGTGTGCCTGTGCACATTAAAATGCCTCATTTTTTTATGTCAATATTTATTTAGAAAAAAAATGCTGCAAAATATATTTGCTAGAGATAGGGAGGACTGTCATTCTCAGACACTATCTTGTTTGTACAAAACCTTGGGGATCTATAACTTTACACTAACATGAATAAATATTGCTTTTTTTGGTTCTTGTCAAAATTATTTATTCATTCTAAACAGTAAACAATGAGCCATTCACCACTTACTTTTTAGCGCAACCTACTGTTGGCCGATAAATAAATCAATATTTTTGTTTTGTTATCCAGTAAAACATAAACGCCTTTAAAACAAGATACATTTTCTTGAAGCAAATTGTTTTAGAGAATATATCTTGAAACTTTTTCCCACTGAAAAATATTTGTTTTTCTTGTTTTTAGCATAAACGCAATCAATACATTGTGTTAGACGTTCACCCCAAAAAATGAAAATTTGCTGAAAATATACTGTAGTTCAAACATCTGATAAAAACATCACAATAATCCAGAAGTAATCCATATGACTCCAGTCCATCAATTAATATCTTGTGAAGTGAAAGCTGCATGTTTGTAATCCAGCATTATTATGAATTACGGATTGGTATTTTGGCCAGAAATGAAAGTTTAAAGTTACAGCACCTTAATGATGCTTTTTTTTTTATACAAATACACAGCTTTTCGCTTCACAAGACATTCATTTGTTGACTGGAGTCGTGTGGATTACTTGTGGATTACTGGGATGTTTTTATCAGCAGTTTGGACTCTCGTCCTGACGGCACCCATTCATTGCAGAGGATCCATTGGTGAATAAGTGTTGTAATGCTAAATTTCTCCAAATCTGTTCAGATGACGAAACAAACTCATCTACATCTTGGATGGCCTGAGGGTAAGTAAATACTCAGCAAATGTTCATTAAAAGATTCCTTTAAAACAAGAGAAAGCACAATGCTAATAGGGTAAAATAGATCAAATTAAATATATTTTAATATCTTACAACATTTTTAATATGAACAAAAATTAAATAAATTTAAAATATTATATATGATTAGATATTCTACTGAACAAGAAGACAAAAATATTTGAATTAATTTATTTTGTTTTATTTTTTTTGCAGTGAATCACCTGGCCACCTCTGGATCTTGACCCAGCAGCAGGAGGAGGGGCTGGGTGTTGATGAGCAGACCCCAACAGGGCAAACAGAAGATCAGGAGGATCAGGACACTCCTCTGCAAGATGATGCCAACACGGCGCAGGTTCTTCCCACCGTAGGTCTGACAAGAACATGAGATCAGAACTCAGACACTTCAAATGTATTCTGTATTCCTGAATGTCTCATATGGTACCAAATTTAGAATTTCAGCAGAATGTTATGTATTTCATGTTTCGTTGCAGGAGATCCAGGGGGTCCAATGCTTTATTTCGTTTTGTCCCCCCTAATTCAATTTAGGTTTAAATCCCAGCTCTCTGGTGTGGTCTCATCCTGTTGGACCCCACTGCATATCCATACATATTTTCATACCTGAGAGATAAGGGTGTCAGCCGCCAATGCAAGACCTCCACCTGTAGCTGCAGTTGTTATGTTTATCGTCTGATGAATCAGAATAACAAGCATCAGCTTCTTCTCAGCCATGCTCTGAACTACTTCAATACACAAGCTTCAAACCCAAAGGCGTGTGATACGTCAAACCCCTGATGGCTGAACTTTTACAATACTGTGCCAACATTTGCATTTCATGCACCAGTTTTTCTGTTTTACCACAAAGCAAACAGTATGCAACACTCCAGGGAAACAATAAGCAGAGCAAAACATAAACTCACAGCTGAGGCCATTCCATAACCAGCCAGCACACTGTTTCCCAGGCGACCGCAAAACATTGTTATGACAAATGGCAGGAGATAATTCAGAATGCGCGATGCAACCTGGAATGACAACCTGAGAATTCTCAGTGGATGAGAAGTACATGAGAGCACTGAGCTACGTATATGGAGGAAATAATGACAGTTCTTTGTTTTTCTGGATTGCAGATTCATTCTTTACCACATGAGGTGAAATTCATATAAAACTTCCAAAGTTTCCTTTATGTTAATATGAATAGATTAATATTTTATATTCATACATGAGTGTAAGTGAGAGAAAAAAATGTCATACCAGGGGTCCAGTCATGCACAGGATGTGGTAGAGCTCCTGTCTATATACCAGAGGGATGCAACGCCTCACGGATCTGCAGCAGAAAAGCTTGGAACTAGGCTCCATTGATGAAGTTTCAGTCCTGGGACTTGAAACGTCCATGATCTCCTTAGACCTGATCTGCAGTGAGGCCAGAGACGCGGCAGGGGACAGTCCCACTGCTGCAGCTGTGTTGCTAACAGGTCAATGTGGCAAAGTTTCACCATCTTAAAAGCTTACTGATTAGATGAAGCATATGAGTGGAAGGGTTGAAATCTGCAGCTAGATGACCTAAATACAATAGAGAGCTTTACTTCTTGAGAATAGTTACAAAATAGGAACTTGAGGAATATGTTCAGCATGTGCCAGAACAGTCAGGATTTTCATTAAATGAAATTGATCGACACAATATACATAAACTGGAAAAAAATGTTGTTGAAACAATTTTAGAACAAACTCAGAAATTGCTAGTAAATTTCACAAATAATTGCAAAGAAATGTCAAGTAACAATAAATTAAATGCGAAATTTATTTAGAAAAAAACCCCAGTGTTTTCTTGTAAAAAGTAATCCAAAAATATTTGTTTTATTTACAACTTAGAATTTTTTTTTTTTTTCTTACAGTGCCATTTTAAAGCACAGCTCACATTTGATCAACTACTGTACTGACACAGCCAACTTGGGGTACTAGGCCTTAATTTGCTTGGCAAATCTTAGCAAACAAATATGAAAACATTTTATTTTTCTTGAATGTCCATCTAACGATTCTGAATTCTTATTTAGGACATTTTAGTACGGCATTGTGACACTGACGCCACAATATCGCTACTGAATCAAAAGCGAATGAACGACTTTAATGAGTTGGTTCTTTTTAATGAATCAAACATACAGCTTATAACTCACTAATGAGAATAATTTTAGCGTTGTTACTGACTGGTTGTTCATATGACAACGTTTATCTTTAGATACACATTATGCGCTCAGTCCTAGTCAGTAAAATTTTATAAATACTGACAGAAATTTAGGTTACCTCATTGTTTGTTGTGTTTTGGCAGCTTTAAAAAGCTGCAAAAAGACAGTAAAAATGCTATTATTAAAATTCTCTCATCATCTAACAAAGGAACACTTCTTTTTCATATATATTATTTAAAAGTGTTAAACAAATCGTAAATAGAATCGTAAGGGACTGGAATCGTTCCAGATTCTTATCCCGGTTACATCACTGTTATTCTTCCACATGAACTAGAACTTGAGGACAATGATTCGAATTCACAGCATGAACTGCACACAAGAGGGGGCAACAGAGCTTTAATTATTGGCCTACTGGAAAACCCCACGTTTTTCACTTCATAATGTATATAGAGGCTATCTATACAGTTGCCTTGTTCTTCTAGAAATGTACGGCGTCCTTTTGTAAAGTGCATGCTTTAAACAAAGGCCCACCATGACAGGATGTTTCCTGACAAAGAAATCTAGTGATAATGCATGACAGATACATCTAGCGCGATATAGGCTAACTTAGGGGAATGTTTGATATTGATTTGCTTGTCCTCAAGGCTGAAAACCTGATTATTTACTTCAATACCACTCTGCAGTAGCCTACACGTGACAGAATTGAATGAAACGCATTTGATGTCTGTAAAAACAACACTTGGGAGTCTGTACCAGTGGCGTGTCCACAAGAGTGGCACGGGGTGGCAACTGCCACCCTTAAAATGAG